TTTAATTTTTCTTTCATTTTTACACTGTTTATTGATATAGTTTCAACTTACCTTGTAATGATTGTAAGCTTCTTAGAATAAATATACTGTTAACTATGTAAAATTCTTTCTATTTCAGGGTATACTGTATATTGATAAAATGTTGCCAGATACATTTAAATTTTACGATCCGAAATATATGAAATAAAGACAGAAAGCTTATCTTACCGTGCGTATTGAGACATGATAGTACAGTTGAAGTAAATTTATTGCAATTAAATTAAAAAATTGCTTGGGTGGAAAATTTCAATTTTTTTTTAAATTGAAAATAACGACAGAATTCAGTGGAAAACAATGAATTTAGTTGGTATTATGAAATTTGTAATTATTTACATACACTATATGTAACAGGTATAATAAACTTCTGTACTTTTAGTACAAAATTACTTTTAACTATTGTTACATGAATTTCTTCAAAAAAACGTTTTTAATAATCACGTTTGAATGATTGATTCTGTTCATATCTAGATTATCAAGTTGTGCAAATTTTAATTAGATAAGGTATAGAGAAAATTATTGTAATAATTTATACGATTAATTTCTTAAATTATCTGCTTAAATTCCGCTCGGCTCGATGTACGAACAATTTTCCGCAGCGAATTTAAGCGCTCTCCCCACTTAAGAGGTTAATAATGATTAAAAACAAAAGGATTTAATTGTATTATTATTATCCTGAAGAAAAATTTACAAGTTGTTCCAATTGTGGAACTTTGGTTGAATAAAAACTGTTTAATAAGTTCATTGTAATAAATCAGTTATAAATTTATTGTTTCGTTCCAATCATCTTGAATATTCTCTTTGATGAACTATATTTGTTGCGATATTTTTTTATACGATAAATATGTCTAATAATGTAATGTTATGTGCATTCTACGCTATATTATAATATCTAAATCGATATACTTCATACAAAATAGATACAAATCACATTAATCGTTTATTTTTAATATCATATATTTTCTTTTCTTCATTTTCATAGTGTTTACTTAGACCGGAAGTACAATGAAATTTAGGTAGTATTCTTCTACAAACAAAAGCAGCAATCTTTTACATCAATAATCACACATTTTTTTTTTGTTCTAGATGTTGAACAATACAGAGTGTCCCGTAACTCCTCGAACACCCGGAAATGGTGGGTTGCTGGGGTGACTCTGCACAACTTTTTCCTTTACCAAAATGTTGTTTGAAGCTTCATTTTTGAATTATTAACGAAAAACACTGGCCAATCACAGCGCCCGTAGAGCCCGCGCCCAGGCATGTGAAATTTTTTTGACAGCGATCGATAACCGAGAAGTGACGCGTACGCATTTGTTCGATCGCGCGCGGGTGAGCCTCTGTTCTCCGTCCCTGAGCGCGAGCTTTACGCGCGCTCTGATTGGCCAGTGTTTTTCGTTAATAATTCAAAAATGAAGCTTCAAACAACATTTTGGTAAAGGAAAAAGTTGTTCAGAGTCACCCCAGCAACCCCCCATTTCCGAGTGTTCGAGGAGTTACGGGACACCCTGCATATTCATGTTTTACATTACTGGTGAACTGTTTTCCATTACACTCAATATAGTCACGTATACATATACTCTTAACTAGTTTATTAAAAAGCGTTTATTTTTCCCAGAGTGTTGTTCCACATTATGTTACAATTGAAAATCTAAACAGGAGTTACAATCAAAGATATTATCCTTTAGGTTTCGCCAAATAATTCAGAATTCAATTAGAACTTCTTAGATTTGTGATGTCAAATATAAAGGAAAAATCTCAATTCTCTTGAAACAGAAACGTCGATGCTTGAAAAATATTATCAATAGCAAAATTCAAAGATGAGTGAAATTGAACATTTTTCAATAAAAAATAAACGTTCTCTATATTTATACGTTATTTTGCAACGGTGAGTCGTGATATAATTGTTTAAATTATTAAGAATAAAATTGCAGTAGAAAGAACCGCTTATTTTCTGCAAAAGTTTTCAATTCACGAAAAGGAGTTTTTTTAATAATTGCAATTTTTCTTTCTTTACCTTTTTCGACGCTACAGCAGTTAAGCGAAACTATTAAAATAGAAGTTTCCGTAAGTGACGAATCTTCATTTAAGAATATAAATTTCATCTCTTAAGAAGCTACATTCTCACGTAGAAAATATCTTCGTTGAAAATGAACATTTTCAGCTGCGCAATTGATTACGGTTAATATACTAGGGTGGATTGAAAAGTTCACGGCCTAAGTATGAAGGATTGCAGCTAAGTGCTTGTAACTTTTACCGAATAATATGTAATTAATTGTGTACTAATGTATACAGTTTCGTGTCTAATGAAGTAGAAGTATTTGCAGTGGATGGAGTAGAGATGGACAAAATTAGAAAACGGAACAACGATCTAACACCTGAAGATAAAGGAGCTCGCATCAAAGATCATTCAAGGACCTTGCAAAAATTATTCGAAATTCTTGCGAAAATCATTCATGGTCCTTGCGGTGGTGTCCTTTGTCACCAGGTACTGGATCACACCCTGGTTAAACTGGATAAACAGCCCTACTTCACCAGCTGTAAAAGAGAGCCACGAAACTTCGTACGTCGGTACACAAATGATCACAGATTACACCGTAAAAATTGCAAGCACCTAGCAGCAGTTCTTCCCACTTAGGCCGCGAACTTTTCAATCCGCCCTCGTAGAATAGCGAGTCGCAGTAGAAATACGAAGATCGATCAATCAAGCACTTTATGTTTTACAAAACAAGCATTACGTATCGATTAACCGTACGACAATCTGCGTTCTCGTCACAAATCTCTCACGATCGTTCGATCCTTTCTCCTTTAGAAAAAAAGAAATGTTTCGTTAACACATCCAGGTGGTAGTAAGTAGATAATTGGTCCGTTATACTTTACAGGTATATATTAAACGACTAGTTACAAATAGATAATCCAGCAAAGGTCGATACTATTTTCTAGATTTTTCTTTACACCGCGTAAGAACACAAACAGAGAAAATTGTACACACTTTTGGTAGTTTAACGCAGTGAACGAAGTTTGAAGTGCGTACGGAAAGAATTTGTTACTGTTGTATGAAAATTCGATTGAACAACGATTGTTCACAGGAAATGGAAGCAGTTTTTCATTATTTAGCAAGGTAGTTAACGTTTTATATTATACAAACAGAGTCAACGGTATTTGAGCTTTCTGCGTAACGAAGGAAGAGCGATGGTTCTCTCCTCTTAGCAGCTCCATTTTAGATCACTCGCTTCACACATGAATCTTGAAGAGGTTTCTCTTCTTTAGGATATGTGTTCTCTTATATCCAGGTATGTACTCGTTGTTGCTGAGAGTTTTGCTCTTCCTGTCAAGACACATGCCCACGAGCTTGCGATCCTTTCCATTTCCTCCCTCGATGCTGAGCCAAAAACTGATCGTTTCCTCCTCTCGACGATTGCAGGTACAATGGTATTCGTGCTGTGCCTATTGAAATTAGAAAGAGGCCTGGTTTGCATCGATACATTGTTTCTTGCGTATCGATTTCTACTGCATGGTAAATTTTCTTTAACAATCGAGTGTTCGAGATTCGAGGCTTTCACGGCCTTGGAGCGTTATTGTTTATCGAGGCTTTCGGGTGTGAGCTGTGTTCTTGTGGAGAAAGTATTCCAACGTTTCGCGAGGATTACAGGTCTCGTTTTATTGGAGTTCGTGAAAAATACTGATGATGGATTTTTAATTGACCAGTTGAGGAATTAAGAATGTCCACTGATTGGTGAGAAATTAACCGGAATTACACCTCCTTTAACTCTTATGTCAATAACCGGGGACCCTTTTGCACATTTTCTCACGTAAAATATTTTATAAATATTTCCTATCCTATTCATAGAGATATTTAAATATATTATTTATAGAAATATTGAAAAATTTCTTATTCGTGTTTGCTTCAAGTTCAGAATTTTGTTATCAGAAAGCTACTAAACTTGGACGATAAAGTAGACGACAATTGTGATTATTGCCATAAGGGTTAACACACTTCATTATCAGTGTTTTTCACGAATCCTGATAAAGTGAGAGCTGCAATCCTTACGAAACGTTGAAAAACTTTTTCCAAAAGGAGACGATTTACACCCGAAAGCTTCAATAATAATCAAATAAAGTATTGATGTATAGGGATGCATGTGGAAGTCTATTTGTTAATTATATACGGGAGATCGGAGTTGGAATTAATAGAAAGTGTGTCTAAGTAGTTTCGTTTGTTTTCGCTTTTATTTGAGAATTTTAGTTTTATTAATATTTCTTTTGTCATTAGTACGTGGCTTTTCTTGCATAAAGTGAGGTAAAGTAATAAAAATTGTCCAGTGTAAGGTATCATTTCAAATAAGCAATATAAAATGATTGCTAAATTATAATGTAGATTTTGTTTGCCTCACCTCACCTCGATACGTTCCCTCAACAGTTCTCCTTTATTGTTATAAAATATTCACAACAATAACTTCAAGCTCCCATATTCTATTAATACTCATGAATTTCGAGCGTTCTCTAATGAAAGTATTATAAAATTAAGGCCCAAAATGTAAGTTTCGTATTTTAAGTAAATTAATTCTCTCTGGCAAAAATCCAAGTTACGATGAAATATCTAGTTTCAAACCATAAAATACAAATGTACAAATAACAAAGTATAAACATTATTCTATCAATTGCAAAAATTTGGCCAAAAACTAACAATAACTTGTACATTCAATTTGTTGAAAATTTCAAACCTAAGGATTCTTAACAACCGGTTGTTCCAAGTAAAGCGATTACAGAGAAAGTAGAAAAAGGAAGTGAAACAGATCTCGTAAGGTCTCTAGGTTTAACATTTTAGTTTCGTTCGTGGAAATTAGTTTCCAGAAGCTACCTGTTACACGTAACCGCTTCCTTACGAAAACAACCGTCTACACTAGTTCCGCCAACGACGACAACGCGACGTTGGTTAAGCTAAGATCGTGTAAATATATGTAAGAATTTCGTGGTTCCGTGTGGGCATCGTCGTGCTCGAAGCGTGACTCGCTCGTGGGTGTCGTGGACGATGTGGTGCAAGGATGTTCCGAGGACGTGCAGGAGGACGTACCGTTCCGCGATATCCTGGTCTGCGTCTGAGGACTTCCGGTGCAGCTGTATCGAGACGTTAGCGCTTCGGATCGCGATAACGAGGACTCTGCGGGAACGTGCACGCCGGGACACCAGGAAAAGAAATGAGCAAATCCTCGGCGAAATCTGCAAGGTGAGAATTAACGCTTTAACTGGAAACGTTTTTACGCTACTCTCGAACAGTAAACGCGGGGCTTTCAGCGGGTAGTCTCTTGAAAAAGTTTGCAAAATTTCTGCAACGTCTTTGAATGTTTTAAACTAAGGTTGTTGTAAATTTTTACTTTCTTTGTACCTGAGAGCTTGCGAGAGATTGTAATAAATTGTTCGTTGAGATACCCAGGTTTACAGTATAAGGGTTAACTTTCTCTTATTAGAGATTTGAATAAATTTGATTAAAGTGGAGGTCCCTATTTCAGGTGTATTTATCTCTATTTTGTCTCTGCAAAATTTGTCATTTTCATTTGTAACCTGGTAAATTTGTAGAGCCATATTTTCTTTTCAAAAGTTACTTGAGTGTCCGTGTACTAGATCATCCTTTAAGTTCGTGTCGAATTTTATAATTTAGACCAAAACTTCCAACGAACCTTGAGTCAAAATTTGCCTTGCCCTTGTAAGTGCCTTCGCATTTGTCGGTAAAACCATTACGTCGTCGCTATAGAACTTCCTCAGATTTTCATTCAAATATTCGTCACTTTCGGCACAAACTCACCGGATGACCTAATGTCATATTAAAAATTCCACAAATTAAAGCACCGACACGTGTTTAACCTTTAATAATTTAATTTCATATCTGTATCTTTAATACGCGTTCCAAAGCCACGATCGCTAATGCAACAACGATAATTTTGTTTAAAGTCGTATTTCAAATGGAATATCACGGACACTTGGTTTTATTCGAGAACGAAAGAGTACGAGTTATATATTTTATTTCTTTTTTCTTCTTTTTTCGTCGCGTATTTACTCCCGGTGTACGAGTACTGGCGACGAGTACCATTGGCCTATTGTGAGAAAATTGTTCGTTAGGGACAGTAGTAGTATTTCAGTTGTTCGGTATGAAATGATGACACCGGTACGCGGTAAATTGCACCGAAACAATTCCTGTCCATGACGTGTAAAGGGATTCCGGTAAATGGCTATTTTCAAATCAATCATCTGGCACCCGTTTCATTCAGCTTGTGGGCGAAACAATGTTATCTGGATTTGTTTTTGACGGTTCGTGCGGTCTTTTGATATCTACATATCTTGTAGAAGTGAACTTACCGCAATTAAAACCTTTGTTTAGCTACTTTTTGTCCAAACGATGGAAGGTCGTTTCAATCGTGGAACATCGAGAAAAGTGCAAGGAATCGCTTTAGCAATTGGTAAAGTCAAGATTGTAGGAATTTTCGTTGTGATAATTTTAGGGGTATTTAAAATGGAAGTTTGGGAAATTGAGAAAGTGTCTTTTGTACGTTTTGATTACGTCTTTCAAATCAAATTCTTTCAAATTAATAATAAATCTAATGAAAAGTATATAAATTTTTACAGTAAGCTGAGTAATATAATTATGAAATATTCGTTCTGTCATAAGTTTCAAATTATCAAGGAATTTGATCGCTTTCAGGAATTTTGATAAATTCGATCATCTATTTCATTCTCATCTCCGAAAGTTCTTAAATTGCTATAATTACGAAGGCAATGATTATCGCTATTCGCGTATTGCGATTTTTGTGTTTTCCTATATTTCTTAAAAGAAAAATTCAAATTGATCAATTTATACCGCAATTGCAACGTTTTTTAATGGTACTTACGTGTTGTCTTAAAGTAACGTTTTACCTGGAATTCATCCAACAGTAAATTATGGGATTGTACATGCTGTTAGACATCGCGAGCCAGTAAATGCCTAAGAAAACTTCTTGGATGTACGGTTTATTCGTAATCTTGGGGAAGTACGACGTGATGATGAAGTAGACGTGAAAGGGTAACCAACATACCGCAAATATTACCACCACCACGATCATCATCTTTACAACCTAAAACAAGTACACGTTTATTCATTATCATCTCATTTACTGTCACGTATTTTTACACGATATTTCATTGTTTGCTTAATCAAAGAAATTTCACATTTACATGGATAATAGTATTCGATGAAAAATGTTTCTATACTTTTTCATATCGTACCTAATTATTGATCTACCCAATGTTTCCTGAATTCCACAAGTTAAATGGAACTTGAAGCTACGATACACGTTCATTGATACATTTCGTGTCCTTCGAAGTTTGAAGTTTTAAATTAGAATGAAAAGTTACGTTGGTATAATAGTATTTTAATTCCAAGAAAATTCTACATAAACAAATTGAAAAATGTTGTTCGCTTAATGAAAGAACGTTGTTGATTTTTATTGAAATTATTGTTTATTGAAAAGATCTTTTTACTCGGTAGGAAGATATTAAGATATAGTTTTTGCTCTATAAATGTTTTCTTGTTCAGTTAAACGAAATAGTAGATTTACCAGATGAAATTGCAGAGCAACTTTAAAATTGTTTTTAAATTGTTTGCAAAACACTTGTACTTCCAGGGCGTTTCATATTAAAGGAGAACTGCCGGCGAATTAAACGATTTCGCGTCTTACTAAGTTTCCTGTTACAATTTCTTTGTGAACTTCTTTCGCAAGATAAATTGCCTTTATACTTGTACAATTCACATTTGAAGCTGTCGCAAAAGCAATTTATCAGAATAATTAAAACAATGCTTTCACTTGAAAATTCTGTTTCGATGAAAAATTGCAATAAGAGAATTAGGGAATTATGTGTGAGCGTGAGAAATTTGGTTTCGATCTGTAATTATACATACTTTAATATATTAAATTAGTTTCAATTATTAAAGTTTCTCTTTCGTTTGCTAAATAACGTAAAATTTTAATTATTAGCTGGGCAGAAATTTTTAAAAATTATTTAAAAAATGATTATGATTAAATGCATGCGTAGCAGGAAAAGGAATTCTAGAAATAGAAGGTTAAAAGGAATAGAACTATAATTTAATAGCGTAATATCCCCTTTTTGCATAAAACCATATGGCTATACTATGCAAGTCAATTCCCTTAAATTCTGGCTTTTACGGTTCACTTGTGACTATCTGGAAACATAGTATCTATAATATAATACACACACACATGCACATACTCTCTTTTCTAAAATTAAACTAATATTAATTTAATAATAATAGTAGCAATAATAATTTCTGATACAATGTAGTTTTACAATTATTTAATATAAAGAACGCTTTTTTTATCTGAATATATTTTACTGTTGAGGTTTGTTATTGTAGCAATGCAATTTGCATTATGTTTTATATTGTATCTTAATTTACGTATCAATATGCATTTTTCTATATTTACCTAACTATTTTATTAAATTTAACATTTAATTATATTTGTACTTCCCGGTTTAGTAGAATTATGTGCAAAATTTTTCACTTCTTATAAACGTAACTAAACGAAGCACGATAAATTTGAAAAATATCGAATCTTGAAAGATCTAACGAATTAAAGGAATAGCAGA